GCAGGTAAGATTTACTAAACATACATAGTGAAGTAATCTTTGTAAAAAAGGATCTTTAGAAACTTGGGCTAAAAAATGTGTTGTTGATCGCGCATAATTACTTCTACCAACAGCTATAAAAAGATGTGATAATGCTGAAAGTGAATGAAATTGTAAGTCATAATTGTCTCATTTTATTCCTATTTTATGACTAATTATGAGTCCCATCCAACGAAAATACAAAAGCCAAACTTTTACATTATTATTTTCTTTTTCAAGATCACATATCATTTTATTTCGGTTTCTATTTTTTAAATATTTTTTCAATACAATTCCTACAGCATCCATATTAGTTCTAGAATGCGAAACGTAGCATCATAATCAACAACTTTCTCTAACTTGTCTAAATATTTAACCCCTAGATCTGCTGCCAAGTTAAAAATGCCATATCCTGAAAAAATAGTAATTATAATTGCATACATTGCTTTTGATGTGTGCCATTGTCCTAAAAGCAGCCACACAGATTTGTCTTTTTTTGACTCACGATATGATATTAATCTACGGAAAATTGCTTCATCACAAGCAACATCTAAATATTCATCTTCTGCTAATTGAAAATCTTTAAAGTACATCTCACATGAATCATGGACATTTAAATCACAGTTTGGCTGTTTACCTGGTGTAAGGATTACAAAGTTTGTAGCTAGAACCTGACATCCCAAAGGTACCTCTTTTATAAGTTCTTCATAAATACTATTAATATCCCAGTTATCTGAACATTGTTCTATAAGCTTGCTAAAATAGTTTCATGTTTATAATATTGATTTCTTATAAAGCTTGATTCACCAAATAAAGCATAATCAATATTATTATTATCATTATTATTGACAATGCTATTGCTAGTTTGTTCATTCGTGGTAATATTTTTGAGAGATTTAAGTGGTATTGGCAATATAAATTGAAAAACTACACGTAGAGTAGCATGTGAAGTACCTCTGATATCATCAAAAATGTTTCCATATTTGAATGAACTTTCTTTAAAGTCTATATTATCAATAACAGACACATTCCAAATATTTTCACCTTTTAGAAGCCTTTGAACTGGATTTGTTTTACTCATTCTATGATGTTCTAATTTTCTTTCATATCGCTATGTATAAGATACTACACCTGCAGTACATAAGATACTGTAGAGTGAAGTTATTAATTTAGATTTACGTGCTAATGAACTCATTACATGTGTAAGCCAAATATCCGTGGCAGGAAAAGCAATAGAGAGAATTACTGAAACAAAAAATATTGCTATTTTATTTACTCGGGCTTCATCAAAAGCCTTTATTTCTAATTCTCGTTGCCTTCTCTTTTTATTAGCTATATCATGCTTTCTTTTTTGTAAGTTAGTAATTAATCCATTAAAAAAATTTAAGATACATTGCGGAAAAGCAGCCTGATATTCAGCTAAAGAGCTTGGCTTTTCAAGAGCCTCTTTATTTTGCTGAATTTCATGTCGAGATTTCCATACTGCAGTTCCTAACATTTCACCATTTTTTTTTGCTATTTTAGGTGTAAGGTCATGATCGCTTTCTATTATTTTCACAATATTAATATGCCCAAGTCGTAGGGCTGTTTTTACAAACAGAAGACTTGGTGGATTTTTTATATGTGATTTGGTTTTGTCAAAGAAAGGTAATATTAAGCTAAGATATGTTAATAATTCTTTTTTTTTTTTCAGTTTTGTCTGATGCTGCTATGTTTAAGATAAATTGTCCTAATAGTTCAAGTGCCTGTGTTGTATCATCGGTATGTTTATCATTACATGGTTCAGGTTTCTTATTAATACCTGAACGTTGAAAAAAGTGACCACCTTGTAAATTAAAACATTGATTATAGATATATCGAGGTTGGTATTTATTATTATTAGAATCAATATTGCTATAATTCTTAAATGCTGAGCAAGTTTTAAGACCCATGCAAGGTGCTTGTACAGTTCGTCCTATTATACTTGTAGAGTGTTGAAGACAACTACCTCCACGACTAAAAAAGTATTTGTCCTTACTATAAAATAAACATCATTGATAATTTATACAACTTTTTTTAATAGATTGTATATTCTTAAGATTTGCATCATGGAGTTCATTTTGATCAAAAGCATAATTTGATCCACATACTCCTAAAGTATATAGTTTATTATCATTTTTTACTGACTCAAATGCTTTGCTATCAATTTCCCAGGTGCCAAGCAACTGTGCTAAAGGTCGCTGTGTTTTTTGCTTATATTTAGAACATCATTTTACTGACCATCAATTACATGTAAAAGAACACAAGGAGTTAATAGTTTGTTTTTTTTCACAACTATCTATAAAATAATCTAGACCTTCATTTTCTGTTGATTCTGTTATATATGATGCCGTTTCTGAAGATTCATATTCTAGATCTTCCCATTCGATTTCATAATCATCATTATTTTCTTTTTTATTGGCCAATATTTGGGCCTGTTCAAAAGCCAATTCATTCCATGTAAATAGTTGTATTTCAATGCTTTTATTAATTATTGCATCTTCGGATGTAAGACTTTCTGCAACAGTTATAGAACTTATACTATCATCAAAAGTATCATAGTCATCACTATCGGGATCCTTGATATCAAATGCCTCTCCATTTATTCCAAAGTTGTCAAAGATTAAAATATATTCATTTAATTTTTTATCTTGAGCTATAAGATTTATATAAATAAAGATGTTAAATATATAATCTTGATCATTATTTCTTTAAATTTTTAAATTCTTAATCGTTACTAATAACTTCTCAAAACTTAATAAAACCATCTTATATGCATCACTCCAGCTATACTAACATCTAATACAACGACAACATAGTAAAATCTTTCTATGCTGATATTTTTTTTAAATTTTTAATATAAATATTGATATAACCAGAGTGACGTGTGTGTGTTTTTTTGTCTTGTTCTTATATTTATTGATCAATTGTACTATACGTTAAAACCAATTTATTAGGATGCACCTAAAATTTTTTACAATTATATGGCATTACTTCAAA